CACATCTGGCCGCTGCAGGCACCACTTGTTAAATGCCATTTGTACAATGCAAAACAGTCCTCCCTGGCTCTCCTTACCTACAGGATTGCATGCTGGCCGCACTTTTTGCTCCTCTTGTTCTCATTTTCAGCCACCCCAAATGATTCGGGGATCCACTCCCCATGCAGCACCGGGTCCACTTTCCACGGCCATACCTTCCGCACTTTTGTTCCAGCTGTTCCCGCCCTCCTCCCTGTCCCTCCTCTCTGCCCGGGGTGCTCTCCATCCCCCGGCTCTGCCTTCCTTAGGGCTTTCCATTGTGTGTGCTTAGACCCTGGCATGAGTCCTCTAACCGCCTCTACCAGACAGTCCATCTGTCCCTTGCTGAATGGCACCAGGGTCATTTCTCTGTCTCCAGTCCCTGGCCCAGTGCCATGCACAAAGCCAGCCCTCAGCAGCGACTCTGATGCTGTGTCCCTGTCCTCACTAAGGCCTTGCCGACCCAAAAGAGCAGAGACTGTGGGAAGCAGGCTGAGAGGGAGCCATCAGTTACGTCACCGCTCAAAACGCACATGTCTCACCTGTACGGCCTCACTCACCTTTCTCAGGCTGGACCGGGACGGGGGCGGGGGCGGCTGTGGAGCGGGTGTGCATGGCAGTGCTGGGAGTGGCAGAGGTGGAGGCCTGGGAGGTGGTCGGGGGGGATGGGGCTGTGGCGGTCTTGGAGGTTGCTGGGGGTAGTGATGTGACTCGGCCACTCTCGCTGCCTGTCTTCACTGAGGTTGTCGTCATTCCTGGACACGTGAAAAGAGAAGGCAGGGGTGGTTCTTACAGTAAGAGAACAGCAGAGTCAAAGAGATTCAAAGAAATCAGGAGCTGGAAGAGAGAGCTGGAAACTCCTTGTCTGTCCACTGGTCATATCCAAACCACTCTCAATATCAGCGGTTTTCGACTGGGGCAGAGAGTGGGGTGAGCCTGTCACCCACCACACCCATCACCTCCTCCTCTGTGGGACCTGACTCAGTCCCACCAGATAATGTGAATGCGCCAGTGTTCTCAAGTACTCGTTAGGCTGAATTCAGCCAAGGGGGCCACTGGGAGAGACGAAGACAAGGCAGATGGCAGCTACCTGATGTTTCCGTCTTCAGAGGGGAGCCCGAGGATACTGTGGATGCTGAGGATGCGCTGCTGACGGCAAGAGGGGTGGCATGACCTGTGAGTAGGGTGGTGGAGTTCGACGTGACAGCAGGGCCAGGGAATGCTGGAGAGAATGGAGAGTGACTGCTGGAAGGAGAGAAAGTCAGTGTGGTCTGAGCTGTGTTCATGTCACTGGAGGAAGCTGAGTCTCTGGATGGCTGTGGAGTGGGAAATGTGTTCTTAGGATACTTAGATGCTGAAGAAGCTTCCAGAGTGGTCTGGATTGACAGGTAGGTGGTAGGGGAGAATGACGAGGTTGGCGTAGAATTCATTGTGCCACTATGATTGCTTGTAGAACTCTTGTGCGTGGACCTTATCATGGGGTTGGGTGTGGGGGTCACCCTTTTAGTAGCTTCCGGGTGCTCAGGGCTGGGCGTGCTTGAGATGCCCACTGACGATGCAGGCACCCGCGTGGTAATTGTTAAGGCGTTGTTACCAGAATGTAACGGGGTAAAGACCGCTGCGGGTACGGTCTCATGGATGACTGAGCTCCTGCTTGTGGTCAGAACACCCTCACTGGTGGACACAACTGTGGAAGGAGAATGAGAGGCGCCATCACTCAGGGTGCTGGAACTGACCTTAGGTGGCCCTTCCGTGGTCCCAGGTGATGAGGTTGGCACTGTTGTCTGGGTGCCATGGCTGTTGCTGACGAGGGCCATGTTGAAGGTTGTACCAGACCCTGAAGGTGACAGAGTGTGGGTCTCGGTTTGTGGAAATGTGAGCCCACTGGATGTGATCGAAGGAGGTGTGGGTGTGACTGTTGAGAAAGTGTCAGTCGCCTGGGACACCAGGCTGATGGTGTCAGACCCTCTGCTGGTTCCTGTCCTCTGAGTCTGCGCCATCCGGGAAATGGCGGCCGTCTCCTGAGGAGAGGCACTGGGAGAAGTTGGGCTTGACTGTCCTGTCGGTCTCCCTGCAGTGGAGGCCTCAGAGAGGGTGACAGGAAAGGTGCTGGGGACAATCGCAGACACCATTCCTGTGCTTACTGGGGTGGCATCATGACTGGCTGAGGCAGATAGCAATTCGGTTGTTGACTGGGTTGTGTGACTGTCCCTGGAGGGGTTTGGCGAGAACCATGTGGTCTCTCCTGTGATGGATATTCCTTCGCTTCCTGAAGGTGTTGTGCTGCTCGCCCTGGATGAGGAAGGGGTAGCTGTGCCATCTGAGGTGGTGCCCGACCCTGAGGAGGCCGGTTCACTGGTCTGTGTTTCTCCAGAGGCCTCTGTGCCTTCAGCCTGGTGGGTTTGGGTCATGGCTGCTGCTGTGTCAGGTGAGGTGCTGGCAGAGGCTGATGTCCATCGTCCTTCTGGGACCCCTGGTGTTGACACTACACCAGGAAGGGCACCTGTTATGGAAAGTGATGCGCCTCCTGAGGGCGCCAGGGTGGAGTCAGGGCTGCTGGGTGCCGCCTGCAGTACTGTGGTTGGGGCCTGGGTTGTGTGACCATCCCCAGTGGGAGGTGGGGCAAAGGTTGTCGCTGCACTTATGGTAGGTGCGTCCTGAGGAGCAATTTCTGAGGGTGAGTGCCCACTGGCTATGAAGGAAGAGCCTGGGGTGGTGACTGTCTTGGTGTCAGTCACAGGGGAGATGGACCTTGTGGTTTGGGATTCTTGTGTGGTCTGCGGGGCTTGAGTGTGACCTCTCTGGGAAACAGCCAGTGATTCCTGAGGAGAGGTGTTTGTGGAATGTATTGTTGAATGATTTGTTGATGGTACCATTGTAATTTGTTGTGATGTGTGTCCATCCAGCATAGGTGAAGAAGATGGGGATGTGGCCGTATTTATCATCTGAGTCACACTGTAGCTTGGGCTGTTGATAGGAACCTCTCCAGTGGTCCCCGTTTCTTGTGTCCATTGTGTCTGGGCACCTGCCCCTGTTGTTTCCAGGAGAGTTGTGCTGTGGGAGGGATGTGTGGTGGGCTGTCCTGATTCCCCTATTGTTGAGACCTCAGAGGGGACCCTTGGAATAGTGCCAGCTGTCCCTGGCACTATTGGACTTCCTGTGACAAGCCTAGTGGCAGCACCTGTTGGTGTTGAGGGCAGTTCTTTTGGTGAGCGAGTTGTGCGGTCTTCACTGGAGAATGAGAAAGGCCATGTTATGGTTTCATGTGGAGGAAATGTCTCATGAGACACACCTGGAGAGACTGAACTCCTCTCATGAGGCCATCCTATGGTCTCTGCTTCTTCACTCTGCTGGGTGTGGAAAGCTGTGGATATTTTTGGAGGTAAAGAACTGGGGGAGAGTGCTGTTGACAGTGTGTCTGACAACCATATGGTTGAAACTCTAGAAGTAATTGCAGAAATGGTTCCCCTTACAGGTAGTGATATTTCCTCTGTGTTTCCAAGAGTAGAGTCTCTGGAGGTGGGCATTCTGAACACCTCTGATGTCACCAGGAATGTGTTGCTGACACTGGAAGGGGATGAAGTGGTTGTTTCACCAGAAGGGAATGTCTCCTGAGAAACTGTTCCACTTGGGTTGAATCCACTTGGTGAGGATAAAACAGCTGATGATGTAACCGGTGTGAGGGTGTTGATTTGAGATACTCTGGTGGTCTCTATGCTCTGAGTCTGGTGGTTCTGCAAAGAATCTGATGTGTCTTGCGTAGAGGTCCTTAAGGAAATTGTTCGTGATTGTCCTTCTGGTTCAGCTCCTACTGAGACTGCTGAGGTCACTGGAGTAGAACTTTCAGTTCCTGGTGTTGATGTCTCTTCTGTGTTTCCAAGAGTGGAGTCTGTGGAGGTTGTCATTGTTATAGTCTTTGATGTCATCATGAGTGTGTTGGTGACACTAGAGGAAAATGATGTGGTCATTTCATCTGGAGGAGATGTCTTCTGAGAAACAGCCTCCGTCACATTGAGTACACTTGGGGAAGAGGGAAGAGCTGATGTCATCATTTGTGTGAGGGTGTCAGTTTGAGCTTCACTGGTGATCTCTGTGCTCTGAGACTGGTGGTTCTGAGAAAAACCTGTTGTGTCCTGAGTAGAAGTCCTTGAGGATGTTGCTGGTAATTGTCCTTCTGGCTCAGCTGTTATTGAGGCTGCTGAAGTGACTGGCATAAGACTTCTTGTAACAGGTACTGATGTCTCCCCTGTGTTTCCAAGAGTGGAGTCTGTGGAGGTTGTCGTTGTTATCTTCTTTGATGTCATCATGGGTGTGTTTGTGACACTAACGAGGGATGAGGTAGTTGTTTCACCTGGAGGAAATGTCTTCTGAGAAATAGTCCCTTTCACATTGTGTACACTTGGGGAGAAGGAAGGAATTGATGTGGTTCTCTGTGTAAGAGTGCTGGTTTGAGATTCTTTGGTGGTCTCAGTGCTCTGAGTCTGGTGGTTCTGCGAAGAAGCTGATGTGTCCTGGATAGAAGTTCTTGAGGACGTTGTTCGTGATTGTCCTTCCAGTTCAGCTGTTATTGAGACTGCTGAGATCGCTGGGGTAGAACTTTCAGTTCCTGGTGTTGATGTCTCTTCTGTGTTTCCAAGAGTGGAGTCTGTGGAGGTTGTCATTGCTATAGTCTCTGATGTCATCATGAGCGTGTTGGTGACACTGGAGGGAAATGATGTGGTCATTTCATCTGCAGGAGACGTCTTTTGAGAAACAGTCTCCGTCCCATTGAGTGCACTCGGGGAAGAGGAAAGAGTTGATGTCATCATCTGTGTGAGAGTGCTGGTTTGAGCTTCGCTGGTGGTCTCTGTGCGCTGAGACTGGTGGTTCTGAGAAGAAGCTGATATATCCTGGGTAGAGGTCCTTGAGGAAGGTGCTGTTGATTGTCCTTCTGGTTCAACTGGTATGGATGCTGCTGAGGGGGCTGGAGCAGGACTTTTAGTTCCAGGTGTTGACATCTCCTCAGTGTTACTAAAAGTGAATTCTGTAAAGGTTGTCATTGTCATAAACTTTGATGTCATTATGGGTGTGCTGGTGACACTGGAGGGAGATGGGGTGGTCATTTCATCTGCAGCGGATGTCTCCTGAGAAACAGTCTCTGTGACATTGAGTACACTTGGGGAAGAGGAAAGTGTTGATGTGGATCTCTGTGTGAGGGTGCCAGTTTCAGCTTCGCCTGTGGTCTCCGTGCTCTGAGACTGGTGGTTCTGAGGAGAACTTGATGTGTCCTGAGTAGAGGTCCTCAGAGAAGTTGCTGATGATTGTCCTTCTGGCTCGGCTGTTATTGAGGCTCCTGAGGTGACTTGGGTAGAACTTTCAGTTCCTGGTGTTGATGTCTCCACTATGTTTCCAAGAGTGGACTCTATAAAGGTTGTCATTGTTATAGTCTTTGATGTCATCCTGGGTGTGTTGGTGACACTGGATGGAAATGATGTGGTCATTTCATCTGGAAGGGATGTCTCCCAAGAAACAGTCTCTGTCACATTCAGTACACTTGAGGAGGATGAAAGAGTTGATGTTATCATCTGTATGAGGGTGCCAGTTTGAGCTTTGCTGGTGGTCTCTATGCTCTGAGTCTGGTGGTTCTGAGAAGAAGCTGATGTGTCTTGCGTAGAGGTCCTCGAGGACGTTGTTTGTGATTGTCCTTCCAGTTCAGCTGTTATTGAGACTGCTGAGGTCACTGGGGTAGAACTTTCAGTTCCTGGTGTTGATGTCT